ATGATCTCGTGAGGGGTGTAACATCAATGCAATTCGTTTCTAATTGTCGAGTTAATGACTTCAAAATGTGGTAAATAGAAGAAATTGATGAAAATGATGGATGTATGCTAGTAGGACGATTGGAATATTATACTATTAAAGTTTGAGCAAGGTATTAGAATAATCTTTAGTTAATTAAAGTCATGGTCCTCGTCGAATTTTCATTTCGTGCTGTATACCGGAAAAATGACACTTGACGAATTCATAAATATGACTAATTGTACAAATATTACTACAAAAATAAAAAAAATTGAAGAAAAACAAGTATTTTAAATATATGGCGTTCTTATTATTTTATACTAACCCATACTACATTTTTCTTACAAAAACCTAATCTATATTGGAGTTGCAAGCTTTTCTTTGAAAAAAATGTTTAATCCAGATTTTGATTCCGCTTAATGAATTCGTAAAATAATTACCAAATTAAAATAATAAATAAATTAGTATGAATTGGTTTTGTATAGTTTTAGTTTCGAACTAACTTTTAAACAAAAATAAAAATCAGTTCGACTCCAATTTAGTTTCGGTTTCTGTACATAATGACATCATGATACTTATTTCTCTAAGCGAGCATTTTACAGACAAAAAGGAATAACTCTTTAATTTCTTAAACTAGTAAAAGCGTATGGTGAACAGTTGACAGAAAAGTATAACTTGTCCTAAAGCCAAACCAAAGATGTCACACAAGATATGAGTGTAACACAAGTAAAATCCCGAAATTCCCTTTCACTTAATATAACAGTTCAAGCTTCCTTTCTATAAATAGAAGAGGGTTTGGGAAGTATTGAAGCCTCACAACAAACTAATAGCATTCACAAGAAAACCAATCATATGATATATCTATAATGGCTACTAGTACTACTCTTACTCTTTTCCTAGGGTGCTTAGCCCTAACGAGTACCCTTAGCTTCAACGCTGAAGCTAGGCCTCAACCAAGTGATGAGGATCTCGGTACGGTCATTGGACCTCACACTGGCTATGATGACGGCCTAGGCACTGGCTTTGATGACGATCTAGGCATCGTGATTGGACCGCATATGAACGAAGCTAACCAAGGTAACCTAAATGATGAAGAATTGGGCACCATCATTGGACCTGAGTTCGAGGTCCACAGGGACGATTTCCCCGAAGATTTCATCTTTGGAACATCCGTTTCCGCATTTCAGGTCAATATACATATAAGATATTAGATATGCACGTACATTATATCCACATACATTATTATAACATTGAAGAATCTTATCATTTACGAATTGGTTTGAGTTTCAGGTTGAAGGTGCTAAAAAGGGATCTGGGAGAAGCTTAACCACATGGGATGAATTTACTCACATGTATCCGGGTACATACTTTTTTTTTATTGTGATTTTGAATTCGGACAATAACTACAAAATCAGGATTATACTAGTGGTTAGCACATGGAGTTGATTCCATTGGATATCCTAAGGGAGAATAGGTATTTCCAAAAATAAACTACATGCTAACTTTAGACCGATAGAGATATTGGTTAAACCCAAATTTCGAGGTTACAAAAAAAAACTATAAAATCACGGAAACAAATATGTTACATAGCCAATATCGTCTGTTGTACTATTTACAGCTGAAAACTTTTAAATATTTTCTCATTTGATAGATTAATATGATCTATTTTACTTTTTAACGACTCTATTTTACCTTTTTGTAGCTTTAAATTCTCTATTCTTTTTACCAATTTTTTTATTAAAATGAAATAAATATGCGTAAAATAAATTCATGGATCAATTATTTTGATATCTTTCAGACAAGGTTGATAGAGAGGATGCGGATGTCGCAGTCGACTTCTATACCCGTTACAAGGTACGTCATTGTTACTAATTATGCTTTTACAAAATAATTCATTAACATTATTTCCTGTATACAAATCAGTAAAATGGTTGTATTTTTAGTTTCCATATATGAAATAATGAAAATATTGTGTGGGATGTGATATTATAGGATGATATAAAATTAATGAAGGAGTTGAAAACGAATGGGTTCAGATTTTCAATCTCATGGACTAGAGTCATGTCTTGTAAGTCCATCTCATTCTTCTTTGTAATTAAATTAACTAAACCACATAATATTTATAATCAAAATCTATATTGCAAAGAAATAATTATTATCAATAATATTCTAACTCATGTATATATTTGTCAATTTTCAGATGGAACTATAAAGGAAGGTATAAACGACAAAATATTTATAATCAAAATCTATATTGCAAAGACGTAATAATCATTAATAATAATTCTAACTC